CCTGACTCTCCCCCTACCACCGTCCTTTCTGAATGGCAGTTCCACTCAGCGCATCGAACGTGAGAACCACTGTCCTTTAAGGCAGGAGACCAAGGGATACCGGAAGTCAGAGCCCAGATCTCTTTTACTCATCTCCTTAAGCGACAGGGTCACAAAATAGAGAATGTCCTCTATCTCTGCAGTCAGGAGCTGACAGACATCAGTGCAATCCACATCCACACTGCAGAGAGGAGACAGCCTGCTGAGACGGAGCTTGGGCTTGGGGTCAGTGGCTTCTGCTGGCCCTGGTTGGGCTCGTGCTGCCCAGAAGTGCAGGATGTCATATACCCATGCCCAGACGGAGTGGGTGGAGCTCGCTCCCTCTGCCCTGGGTACCCCAGCTGACCTCCACGGCACCCCTCCTGCTCTGCTCAAGGCCACAGGTCACCTGGGGCCATGTGTGATTGAACAAAGGTTTTCTTCTTTCCCACCGCCGAGGGTGGGCATTGCTAGTGCCTTCCAGAGACCACACAGGACCAAATAGAAATATTTATCCATTGTCAAATGGACAAATAATGACAACAGCTATTTTCTCCCTTGGTTTGATAAAAAAGTAAATACTATCATCTCTATCTTAACAGTTAATGAGAGATGCCGATTCAAAATTTCCTTGATGCTTTGGAGGACTTGATCACCCATGACAACCGGACATTGTCTTTAGTTACACTTACTGGACCACGGAATCCTGGAGGGCCAATGTCCCCTTTCCACCCCTGTGTTGAAAGACAGTTACAAATTGTGAGTACATTAATCCAAAATATCTATACATTTGGTATACTGAAAAAGCAAAATGCACAGCTAAGTAATAAACTGACTTTGGGTTATTTCCCTGGAGGGCCACATCTGGGGCAAGAATCCTGTCAACAAGGTCCTGAGAAGCAGCTGTGGTTCTAGTGATTTCCAGATTCCCTCCGTGCCAGTACCTTCAGAGGGTGTTTCTATGCATTACACATTCCCACGTTCTCGCCCAGATCTCAGGCACGGCAAAACCAGGCTGTGAGTTATATGCAGTTCCCACTGTCCCAACTCACCTGTAACCCACCCCCTTCCTTACCTACTCAAGAGGGCATTTTCAGAATTGGACAGGAAGTGATATTATTTATTATAGGGTACATCTTGAATCTGCACATATCCTTACACATAACAATTATTTGAAAATGTCTGTAACATGTTGTCGGCAACGCATGAAACGGACTACAGCGCACAATTCATTAATCGTGACCTTTCAGCATGTCATGACCCAAGCTGAGACTCACGGGGTTCAGCCTACACTTGCCCTCCGATGACCTGAAACCCTCGCCTGCAGGACTTCTCCAGCTCCTTCCTCATGAGGAAACTAAATCTCACTGGTCACTGTGTCAGCCAGCTTCTGCCACACAGAGCGAGTTTTATATCTTTCCCACAAAACTGCCCTTCAGGTGTCCATGCAAACTTCACATCCCTCACTTCCTCTTAACAAATATAACTAAGGTATTTTAATGAACACTGGTCGCAATTCCTTGTACCTATTTCCAGGGCATGGTGGGGAAAGGGCGGGCAAAAGCCAACCAGTTAAAAGAGCCTGGAGAAGAGGATGTTAGAGAGGGCATTACCTTAATGCCGTCTTCCCCTGGTAACCCAGGGAAGCCCCTGTTGCCTTTGGCTCCCTGTGGAAAAGGGCAGAGAGAATGGGTCAGAAGGCCCACGGGTCAATTTCTTCTGTGGGAAGCAAGAGCAGTTGGAACTCCTTTTTGCAAAGAAAAATTAGGATGGCTCAGATGGTCTCTCTTCACAGTGAGGGTGTTGCACTCTGATTCTCAAATGTAGGTTTAAAAGGCCACATGCTTTTTCTAGATTAGTAACTACTGATGACTCCCCAGAGTGCTTCTTCACCGAATGGAACTGACATTTCAATAACATCGATGGGCCAAATCAGGTCTTTACCTCAGTGCCAGGGAAACCAGGGGTTCCATCTTTTCCAGGTTTTCCCTAAAACAAAAACACATCATTTAATAAATATGGAAAACCTAAATGATACGATCGTCTCCTCTCGACCTCGGGCAAGAGAGCCTGACTGAGACTCCCCACCCATTTGTTAGAAGAAAAAAAAAAAAACACTACTAATCATGGAACACGTATGACCTTCTCTTGGTGGGAAAGGCAGAGCCAGTCAGAAGGGGAAATCAGGGGTGGTCAGTGGAAGGAAGATTGGAAATTAAGAGCTAAGCTTCAGTGAGATCTAATACTATCCACCCAAGCTTGGAAGAAAACTTGAAAAAGCAGAGGAGTGGACAAAAAAGCTTAGAAAGACAGAGGTGTTCACAAACTATTCGAAATGTTGGCCATTCCCCGAACTGCAGATATGCCTGTATTTGAACATACTTATAAAAATAGGGTGCAGTGTTCTAAACAGACGGGGCTTTTGGATGACCTATTATGAAGTCTACTCTCCATGACAGAATAAAAACCATACTATTTTTTCTTAGAAAAATATACACTTTTCTCAATGTAAAATTTTTAGAATTTAAACACAATATATGTGGTTAAATATTTCTAAAAATAGAGCTGGCCGGGTGAGTGGACCCTGGCGACTTCAGTGTCCCCACTACCCATGTCACAGCATGTCCCATTTTCTTTGGGGAGCGGCCGTTCCCTCACTCTGTGTGATTCTGATGGGGTTCTCAGTCACAATAACCCTGACCCCGCTGGTCTGGCCAACCCTGGAAACTTCTTCCTGGCCACAGTTCGCTTTCCAGAGTGAGGCATAGAACCAAGTTGGGTCAATTAGAGAGATTCTCTGGGGTTTTATTAATGGCCACAGGGAAACACACCATCTCCTTGGATGCCATTAATCTGAACTTCTCACCTTTTCTCTCTATTGCCACCTACAAGGAAGAAGGTCATTGTCAAAGGAGAGCATGAGGCCAATCAATGCACACAGAGGGGGAGAAATGGTATGGAGGGCCCCGCCCCCCGCCATATTGTTTCAGGCTCTGAAGTCCTTGAAGGCTGTTTCAGCCTTAAACTTCTCAGCTACTTGAACAAATAAGTCTCATTTCTTAAATTTTTTAAAATATTTACTTATTTTTGAGAGAAAGAGACAGAGCATGATGAGCAGGAGAGAGGCGGAGAGAGAGGAAGACACAGATAGGAAGCAGGCTCCAGGCTTCAAGCTGTCAGCCTAGAGCTGGACCCAGGGCTCAAACTCACAAACTACAAAATCATGACCTGAGCCAGAGTCAGACGCTTAACCGACTAAACCACCCAGGCACTCCATATTTCCTAAATCTTTAAAAAACTTATAAAAATCTAAGCTAGTTTGAGATGGGTATCTTACACTTGCTTCCTAAATAGTCCTGAGTATTTACTAATACAGGCTGCACATGACACTGAATTTCCCAATTTACCTGCGGGCCAGGTTCTCCAGGAGCACCTTTTTCAGCTCCATAAGATTCCCCAGGTGGTCCCTGTATTAATGAGAGTTATATCAAATTGTACATATTATTGATTTTTTTTTTTACTTATCTTGATTGCCATTAACTTTTTCCTTCTGATTATTCTGTTATATTTTAAAAATGTTAAAATCATGGTTCATCTAAGAGGGAAATCTTATTTATAAGTATTCGTTTAAAAATAAATGCTAAAATACAAGATGCTATATGGAAAGAGCCCAAATGCCCATCAACTGATGAATGGATAAAGAAGCTGTGGCATATATAGGCACAATGGAATACTACTTGGCAATGACAAAAGAATGAAATCTTGCCATTTGCAACAACATGGCTGTAACTGGAGGGTACTATGCTAAGTAAAATAAGTCAGTCAAAGACAGATATCATGTTTTCACTCATATGTGGAATTTGAGAAACTTAACAGAAGACCACGGGGGAAGGGAAGGGAAAAAAAATAGTTACAGAGAGAGAGGCAAACCATAAGAGACTCTTAAATACAGAGACCCAACTGAGGGTTGATGTGGGTGGGAGGGCAGGGGGTGGGGAAAATGGGTGATGGGCATTGAGGAGGGCACTAGTTGGGATGAGCACTGGGTGTTGTATGTAAGTGATGTATCACGGGAATCTACCCCTGAAGCAAAGAGCACACTGTATGTTAGCTAACTTGACAATAAATTATATAATAATAATAAAAAAAAAACCAGATGTTGAAGATGAATCGTAAGATGGGTGACATTGGGCACATATACCACAGCGTAGGGATTTCAGCTAGAAGTAGGTGTAAAATAATTCTAGTATACTCATGACCTCTGCAGTAAAATACTATCATGCTTTAGTAAATATTAACATGTAAAAGTAGATCGTATATCAAAATAGGCACTAAGGCTCTACTTTATGTTTCAAGGTAACAGCATGAGTGTAAATGACCTACTGAGGGTCCAGGAGGTCCGGATTTGCCCATGGCTCCCTTGTCCCCTTTCTCTCCCTTGAGGTCCTGCTACAAAAACAATTTCAGGTCATTACACACAGATCAAATAAGATTTTACTGCTTTTACAGATTTCTCTATCCGTTCAATGTACTGGATTTACAAAGTACTTATGTACCTCTTGTTAACACGACACATTATTGTTTTTCACATTTCAAATGTTATACTTGTGAACCCGTTGAAACTAAACACAGACTTTTTTTTTCTTTTTTTTAAGGAAAGTTATCTTTTGGATCAAACTGTGTTCAACCAATTTAATTCCTGCATCAGTTTTCAATAAGCACATTCAAATCATTTTTAATGTATCTTATTTTCATTTTAATATACAGAAATTATTTTCATTGGGATCATTTTCTGAGTATATGTTATGATGAGAATTTGATTTCCATTAATCAGGTTTGTTTGCCCCCTAATTGCATTTTATTGATTGTATTTTTCCTCTTGTGAATCATCTCTTGGGGCATCAGTTTTTTTGTTTTTTTTCAAACTTGATTTTTTCCCCCTTGATCAAATCTTCCAGATCTAGAATTTTGTCAAAATAAGACTTTTTTTTCCTGTCAATTTCTAGCCAATACAATTTTAGACTTTATTAGTTTTATTTTTGTCAATTACCTCTTAAAAGTGGTTATTTTCCTCAGGTAAATTTTTCTCCAATCTTCAATGAGAGTTATTATTTTGATTATACCAAATTTTGCCGTGTTTTGCTTTAACTCTTTTCAGTTTTTGTTTTGATAATTTCTATCACTAAAAATGATTTTATTTTTAGTTTATTTTTGAGGTGATGAAAGTGTTCTAAAATTGCAGGTGGTAATACTTGTAAACCACATGAATGCACTGAAAGCCACTGAATTGTACATTAGAGAGCAAATTTCATGGTATGTAAATTATATTTCAATAATGTTGTTAAAATTAATTATAGCTAAAACCCATGAATTTTATTCTTTAAAATGGATGTGTGAATTATGATATGTGAATTATATTTCAATCAAGCTATTATTGAAAATAATCACAAGTCTTAAAAAGGATGATTTGTGTTTATTTCTTCCACAAGAAAATTGTTAGTTAACCCCTCACTTCCCTCCCCCCATCCCAGGCATTCCAGGATCAACCTAGTGTCTAGGTTTGGGGTATTATATTGTGATTCACTTTTTCTGAGCATTCAATTCAGTTCTATACCCTGGTCTTTCCAGCTACCCCATGGTAGGAACAAAATGCAAATGTTAATGTCAAAAAACAGGGTCACAGTGTCCTGGGAGAGAAATTAGGGCCAAATGGCCCCTGGGGTTATAATGGCAGATAAAAATGTCTCAGTTGGTTACAATACCAGTCCACCCATATCTTAAAAAATTTTTTTTTTCAACGTTTATTTATTTTTGGGACAGAGAGAGACAGAGCATGAACGGGGGAGGGGCAGAGAGAGAGGGAGACACAGAATCGGAAACAGGCTCCAGGCTCTGAGCCATCAGCCCAGAGCCCGACGCGGGGCTCGAACTCACAGACCGCGAGATCGTGACCTGGCTGAAGTCGGACGCTTAACCGACTGCGCCACCCAGGCGCCCCTTAGGGTCTAGTCCACCCATATCTTTAGGTCATTACTATCCAGTTGGATCAGAGCCATATAACCATTTTGTTATCATTTATTCAAACATACTCACTGAATCCCCATCTGAGTTGGGAACAGTGAGAAGGGATGGGGATAAGAGGTGAGCAAAGTTAGATCCAGGCTCCACCTTCTAGAATCTTGGAAGCTGCTTGCCTCTGATCTTGCCTCACATCCCTGTCTCATTGCTTTCTGGTTCTCCAGTAAAAGATGGGGATAAAATATAATCCAGAGGTTCAGGCAGGGCTGAACTGGGCTTAGACGGAACTTATAAAAGAGGTAAAAAAGATCGCAAGGACCTCCCCCCAGAAGTGAGAAGACACAACCCTAGTAATAAAGTGGAAGAGTTACCGTTCTGTTATCTGGGCCGGTTAGCGTCACAATAACCGTTCCTGGTGGTCCAGGGGGTCCTGTCAATCCTTTCACACCCTAAACACAAATACACTCAGGAATGCAAAGCTGAACAACATCACCTTTGCTTTTTTGAAAGACAGATGCTCCTTCCCTGTTGGTTCTTCGGTGAGAAGATAGAGCCAATGATAGAGCAAACACACACGTTTATTTCAGGGTCACTCAGTGACTGAGATGTATAGGTTGGTTGCTCTGAGACTTACAATGTCTTGCCCACAAATAAACCCCAGTATTTGAATTACCCGCTCTCCTTTTTGTCCTATCACATTATCGCCCATGTGACCCTGTAAGAAAAGACAAAACAAAATTATTTAAAAAAAAAATGACTATGAATGGTCTAGACCCACTGAAGTGCCAATGTTTGTAACTGACCATTTACATTTTAATTATAATGTTAGTATTATAAAAATTATTTTAGCTATTTCTTGGAGGAGAGAGGCACTATGTTCCTTTCAAAAGTAGAGATCGTGGAATGCAGAAAGCTTACGGGATATACTTAATAGGGCAAATGAAGGCATTATGTGGCATGGGGAAAGGAAACCAGCTCAGAGGACATTTATCTGGCTGAGCCACTAGCTGGTTACCTAACTTACTGATGCCCTAGTTTTCTCATCTTAAAAAGAAGCAGCAAGGGTAGCTGAACTTCGGGATCCTGAAATTCCTAGAGAGGCGAAGAATGCAATTCCATCTTCAGTAGTAATTTAGTGACATGAGAGAAGAGAAAGACATGCAGGGCCCTTCATGTACTGGCTTAAGATCGGGTTGGTTTGGGGAACAGTCCACTGCAAAAGTTTATAGGATAAAGTATTGGGTGATCAGTAGGATTATCAGAAATGGGAAACCTACGGACTTGCCCTTTCCTGATACGGAGCTCCTTATAACTGAATTATCAGGGATCAAGTTACTAAGTGCAGGGAGAAGTGAGTGAGGGGTGCAGAGCTGTCTGCCCCATTCCTTTCCATGGATTATTCCAGGGAATAATCCTGTGGCTTCCAGAGAGGGTCTGGGCAGTGACCACATGTCCAATCAGGCCAGGTTTGGCTTTTAGCTTGCTTAGGGGTTCTGGCTGTTGTGACACATGAACTATAATCTACCTTAGGTCCCGGAGGTCCCATGGTTCCTGGAAAGCCCTAGAAAAATCCAGAAGAAGTGAAAATTACAGCAGGAAATGTGTACCAAGCCGAAAACTCTGTGTAAAGCTTTTAGCTATAATGAATTTATTAGTTTACAGTGTCTATAGCTGTGATGGCTTCATACTCACAAAGAGCCCTGGAGGGCCAGGTGGACCAACGGGTCCAGGAAAACCTGGAAGGCCTGGTAAGCCCTGTAAATTAAGAGAAGAGGAGGGTAAGTTTAAGTTTACTTCTTACCTAAGAACGATGTCCATTAATTAAATCTATTAACATATTTTAATGAAAGTTGAGGAGCATGATGGCTCTCGTTTATGGCTGCAGTTAATTACAAAAAAAAGGGGGGGG